CTCTTTTACTTACCACTCTGCCATCTTGGAGCCTCCTTTGGATTTTTATTCACCTGGAATTGGTCCCTAAACTTAGTCCCTTCTACTGTTTAGAAAGTAGACAGGTATAGAAACTAAAGTAAATAGCATCCTTCTGCATAACTGTTTGTGTCTAGATGTCTCCTCAAAGCCTCATGCAGTCATGGAGAAGCTTCTAGAGTTTGTGATTAATTCATGATCCAATGCTGGAATTATGGGTGTGAGTGCTATTCCCACCCTGGGGTGGGTAATCTGCATTACAATGTGAGGAGGGGAGAGAGGCTCCCCAGAAGCCACAGCTGCTTCTCCTCCCTTTGATCTTTGCTTTTTTCTGCTGCCATGAACAGCTGCCCTCTGCCCTGTGCCACTCTGCCTTGGAGCCAGCTGAATATGGACTAAAACCTCCACTCACTGTGAGCTAAATAAACTTTTTCTTCCTTAATGTTGGGTGTTGGAAATTTTGTCCCAGCAACATGAAAAAAGTAACTGAGACAATAACTTTGATTATGCAGCAGGAGAACCATTTTAAAAGATTCCCATGCAATTTGGATTGATTGAAAAATTAGCTGTGTGAAAGCCTGGGTAGGAACAGGATCCCAGCCCCTCAGCCCTCAGCCCCCTCATCACAGACTGCTGAAGGTTAAGTTCAGAAAACTAAATAATGTACATGGGTCAGCATCTGGACAAGAAATCCTGAGGTTTTCAGAAAGGGAGCAGGAACTCCTCTCCAGGTACTACAGGGACAGAGGCATCCTGGCTGACCTCAAGCCTGGCACAGGGGACCTGGCAGTACATAGTAGAAGGGATCAAATGGCAGTTCTCTGATCTTTCTAATGGAATTAGATTTGTAGCTGGACTAAGTAAGGAGTATGAATGAGTGCATTTCATAAACTGTAAAGTACCTAGTGAATATGAGATGGTGCTGATGTTATTATGGATTCATTCAAAAGAATATATCATAACACCCCTCACCCCCATGTTCTATTTCTAGGCACTGTGCTGGGTACCAGGAATACAATGGTGAATGACACAGCCCTCAGAGGTTGCATATGAGCATAAAGCTTTACAAATCCTGCTGTAGTCACTAGTTTTACAAGCCCTAAATGACATTCCCTTTAATAACTGGCATTATTGGGGCATTGGTCCTGTGTACTTGTTGGTGAGGAAGACACTTGGCAGGATCTACAAGGCTGAGGCCTGGCACCTCTCTGTACCTGCAGACCCACTCACTGGGATCAGAGTGCAAGAACCCAGTTCAGGAGATGTCAAAGGGCAGGATTCCCATCCCATGGCAGCCTCTCCCCAGGACAAGCTGGGCCTACTCCCTCTCAGCAGTTCCAGAAGCAGCCTAGGACTCAGGGCATGCTGAGCCAGCCACTGAGACTGGGCATGGTGGCACATGCCTGTAATCCCAGCACTAGGGAGTCTGAAAACAGGAGGATCACTAGAAGTCTGAACTGTGTAGTAAGACCCTGTACCAAATACATTTTTAAAAAATCAGAACCTGAACATTTGTAGAGTGCAGCTGAGCTAGACAAAAGTCAGTGGAGCCATTTGGTCCAGAGGCTCTCTAGGAGCATCATGCAGAACTGAGCTGCCTTCACAGACATGAGCTTCCAATCAGAATTCACCAAATACCGGGGTGATGGCTCAGTGGAATAAGCCCTTCCCTGGCAAGTGCAAAGGCCTGAGTTCAATCCCCAGTTCTGCCAAAAAAATACATATATGGAATTCACCAAATATAGGAGGAATGAAAATTAATAGAAACCACAAACTACAGAATCAAACATCGTGACCCAGTAATGGAATTTTCAGCTATGAATATAAAATAAATACTAAGCAGGAGTAGCAAAAAGGTGTCTATATCTTAACATGTAGCTTATAAATTGTGGGACACCAAAGACAGACAGAACACACTAGAAGTGCCCAGATCCCAAGGATAGCTTCTTAAAAAGCAGCAACAATTCACCCAACCTCCCCACAGCAGCCACGGGAGCCAAAAGGCAGTGGAATTCCGTGGGAAAATGTAGGTCGTGGTAAGAATGCATCTTGGAATGGCTGAGAGAAGTTAATTTTCAGAGTAACACTAAGAACATTGTCTAACAAATCAGACTGACTGCTACCAACCTACCTTCACTAAAGAGACCACTTAGCCAGATAGCTCAGCGGATTAAAGCATCTGCTTAGGCAGACACGGGCACCAGGGTTCGACCCCCGCATGCCATGCTGGCTCTGCCCTCGGTGCACTGAAACAGTGATTGAGACTGGGCGTGGTGGTTTGCACCTGTAATCCCAGCACTTGGGAAGCTGAAAACAGGAGGATTGCTAGGAGTCCAATCTGTGTAGTGAGACCCTGTAGACTCTGTACTACATGCATTTAAAAAAAAAATTTTTTTTTAAAGCCACTAAGAGGTACTTCAGGGAAAAATGAAATGATCCCAAAAGGAAGTCTGTGATGCAAGAATATCTTTGAGTCCCAAGGTAGGGAAGAAGTGTTTTGTTTTGTTTTGTTTTTTCTTTCAGGAAGAATTTTTAAACTTGATAAAAAGCATGACCTATAAGGGAAAATATTGATATGTTCACCTATATTGAAATCAAGGACTTAGTATTTCAAAATCTACCATAAAAATGTTAGACACCAGCTAACAGAATATATCTGCAGCATAACTAATAGCCAATGGTATTCATGCTCTTGAAAAGGATTCATACGAATCAATCAAAACAAACCTACAAAAATATATAATCAAAAGAAACATTAAAAATGTACAGAGGAGGCTGTGGAAATGGCCACCAAATATACACAAATAGGCTTTATCTCATTACTAATCACTAAGTTACAATCAAATGAGATACATTAACCTCCCCAAAAAAGCCTACCAAGCTACAGCAGAGACCCTCAACTACTAAGCTTAACATGTTGCACAACACAATGTCGATACATTAAAAGTCAGATTATCTCTAACAACAACAAACAATTGGGAAAGTATCTTTAAAACACTATTTAAAAGTAGTTTCTCCCAAAATGGAATATTTAGACATCAATATAACCAATGTGTACAGACACACATGTTACAAAAAAAAGTACGGATAAAGGCTATCAAAGAATGTCTTCACAATTGCGCAGAAATACCAAGTTCATGGATTGGAGGCCTCAGCATAGTGAAGATACCAGGTCTCCCCCAACTGAACTGTACATTTAACATAGTAAAAATTCCAGGAGAGAGGGTGTGTATATTGACAAGCTTATTTGAAAAAATAATAAGGAAAAGCAACAGCACTAGTAAAGAAGTTAAGCTGTCAAGAGGGTGAGTAATCGCCTCTTAAATGTGCAGAAGTGTGAGTCACCTGCACTTGCAACTCTTTGGATTACTGTAGCTTCATAGAAAGTTTTTAAATATGGCAATATGATTCCTCAGACCACAGACTCAGGAGTGACCTTTGGACCCCAGCTGGCCCCTGCTTCCCACCATCATGACAGCTCAAGTGGTCTCACAGTAAACCGGTTCTTCTACTTCAAAACACTTTGAGCACTTTATGAACGATAGATTTCTGTGCCCTCTATGAAGTATGAAGTGTAAGAGACTGAACATTATTATTATCTTCAGAAGCTGTGTACCTTCACGCTCGATCCTGTAACTCTCTCTCTCTCTCTCTCTCTTTCTTTCTCTCTTTCTCTCTCTCTCTCTCTCTCTCTCTCTCTCTCTCTCTCTCTCTCTCTCTCTCTGATGAGTCATTCTAAGCATAGGTGGGGAAGGGCGGGCCCTGAAGGAATTTGGGAGCAACAAAAGAGTTCAGGACCTGTACAATTTGAAGAGACTGAAGGGCAGGTACAGGCCTGGGGTGAAGCAAAGGAGGCACCTAGCAGGCAAAATGTAATGAGACAGTCTCAGGGCCGCCGTACAAGTTCAGACTCATTCTTTGCAGAGGGACTTCTAAGAAGAGACGCCCAGTGAGCAGGTACGTGTGAGAAATGGGTGGAGGTGAGTTCTCCACGTCCCCAACTCATACGGGGCTTGAAAAGCACAGGTTTAGTAGGAGCGAGTACAGGGAAAGTTGAGGAAGTTGCAAGGCCATCTGAAGGAGGTTTGGGGAAGGACGGGAGCTCAGAAAGTTGGAGATTAACCAACAGCAAGGCTACGTGGAGTTCACATGGATCTTTGCCCTCCCACCGCTAACTGGATGCCATCGGTACTGCTATTTGGTTCCCTCCCAGGGCTCACAAGAGCAGGCCCAGAAAGAAAGGGAGAGAGTTTTCTCCACCCAGGGTATCACAAGTCACTGAACAGAGCTGAAAAGTGATTAACCAGGAATCACACTGTCCAACTTGTAACTGAACCCGGAGCATCAGTGCTGAGATCTGGAGGCTCCTCTCAAGTGCCTGCAGGCCCAAGCAGACACTCAGTAGGCAAAGGGACGAGGGAAAGGGAAGAGGCTTCCACAGTGTGGGTGAACAACAGGGAGTCTGCCGCAGGAGGACATGGCGTGTTGGGCATGTGGAGGGGGATGTGGTTCGCTGAGGACTGTGGCTCCCTTTCAGGAAAACAGTTTCCCCTCAGCTAGCCTACTCTGGCCTGGGAAATAGTTGTACCATGTTCAGAACCATGGATTTCTCATGAAGTATCCCAAATCTGGAATTTGTTTTTCACTTGAAAAATCCTGTTTTAAACATTGACAACGTTATTCAGGTTGTTCTTTTATTATCATTATTTTTTAACTATCCATTTCAACATTGGTGGGCTAAGATGATGCAGCCAGACTTGGCCCAGAGACCTTCCTTTCACAACCTTTGTGTGAAGCCTTGAGTTTTTAGGCAGGACCTGCGCTGACTCAGAGTGACCGTCCTTTCTGTCCCACTACCTTAGCTCCTCCTAACTTCATTTCAGCTTTTAACCAGAGCAGAGGAGAAAAGGGACACTTTGCACAGGGAAAACATGCCCCACACCAGCGAATTAACCCTCTTCTTTCCTGCCTTTCTCTTACAGGTATTCGGGTTCTGGGTCTGGGTCCTGGTAGCTGCCACCCAGGTAGCAACCCCGTTGCTGCAGGGATGGGTGATGTACGTCTCCCTGACCTCCTTCCTCATCTCGCTGATGTTCTTTTTGTCTTACTTGCTTGGATTTTACAACAGATTTGAATCCTGGAGAGTGCTGGTAAGAACCAAAGGAGAGGATGCCCTGAGACTGATGTCCCAGGTGTTGTTGAAGGACCACAGGCCCAGCTGTGTGGGGAGGGGGAACCAGAGACCCTCGCAGGGCTTCACCCCTGGGAGATGAAGTCTTTTGATTTTAGTACATTCTGGAACCAGGTGTGGTGTCATGTCATGCACCTATAGTCCCAGCTACTCGGGAGGCTGAGAATTGCTTAAACCCAGGAGTTCAGAGGCAGGCTGGGCAACACAGTGAGACTCCACCTCTTCAAACATAAGATAGAATATTCTCATATATCACTCCTAAATTTTATTCATGGTAACCAGAGCAACACTGAAGAAAATGCTAGTAACAAAGAAAATCATTCTAGTTGAAGGGCTTGCACTGGTCACTATGACAGGCTCACTCTTCCATATGCCATGTGAATTTTATGGAAAATGTATATACATTCCAATTACACCCAGTCAACAGTCTTGGAAGTCTATGCCTTCATTTAATATAATATTAATTTTCTTCATGTTGTCACATCATCTTGTCAACCATTTGGGTTGTTCACTGAGTCTTCATTTCCTCACCATAAACTAAGAAAAACAAAAGCTGACTGTATAGTTCAGCTTTCCTGTCACTTAGACAAAAACACCCAATACCCAGAGGCTTTGTTTTGGTTCCGCCCACGGTCAGCCAGGCAGAAGCATCATGGCGGACTGTGTGTTGGAGCAAAGCTGCCCTCTTCCTGGTGGTCAGAAGCAGACTACAAGGAAATCGCCTTGACAGGAGATTAAATTTTCCAAATCCACCGGGCCTCGCCTCTTCCAGCGCGGCCCACCCCTCACAGCAGTCAGTGCGGCGCCCCTGTGGCCCCAGCACAGCTTCAGGGCTCTCTCAATCCAGTCAGGCTGACACTCAAGATTAACCACACACTGTCCTCTGAAGTTAGCTGTGAAAATTAAATGGTACTTGGTGGGCACTGTATGGTGAGGACAGTGCCCAGCCCACAGCAGGTCTCCTTAAAGCAAATGGTTCAGCCTATGGGCTTGGCTCTCAAGGGACCTGGGTTCAGGTCCTACCTTAACCATGTAGCCACTGGCCTTAAGTGTGAGCTTCCATTCCTTCAAAAGGAAGCCAAGAATAAGAACAAAACTAAATGAGTAAAGGGCTTCAGTTAGAGCTTGGCATCAACCAAGCAACCAATGAATGCCAGCTGGCATTGATGTTGTGTGCGTGTGTGGTGCTGGGGCTCCCAGAGCCTTCATGCTGAACTGTTTCCCCAGCCACCAGTGCTCCTTTTTATGACATAGGGACTCACTAAGTTTCCAAATTGCCAGGCTGGGCTCAAGCTCATGATACTCCTGCCTCAGCCTCCCAGAGTTCTGGGATGATAGGTGAGCACTCCAAATCCCCAGGACTAACAGGATTACATATTATTGTTTGCTACATGAGTAAAAGCAGGAGTTAGGGGCTGGGCTCAACACTTTCTTACTCTCCTGCTGAGCTGTGGGAGGGGACAGTGCTCAGCAAGTGACCGTGGCCCTGGCCTCTGCTTGCATCTCCAGGACAGCCTATACCATGGGACCACTGCCATCCTGTACATGAGCGCTGCCGTCCTGCAAGCCCACGAGACAATCATGTCCGAGTCCAAGAGTGTGAAAAACTACTACATCAACACTGCAGCCTCGGTGAGTGGGCTGGGCATCTGCTACCACTGAGGCACTCAAGCCACCCTCGGGGGGCGTGACTGCCCTCACTGGGGCGCCCTGACTGTGTGAGGTTTCATTCTCCCCATGCAGCTTAGATGACCCTGAGCCTACAGCTGCAGGAGCAGAGGGGGAGGAAGAGGGGTGTGTGTGTGTGTGTGTGTGTGTGTACATGCATGCCCAAGCTCAAGTGGGGCGTGACTGCCCTCGCTGGGGCGCCCTGATTGTGTGAGGTTTCATTCTCCCCATGCAGCTTAGATGACCCTGAGCCTACAGCTGCAGGAGCAGAAGGGGAGGAAGAGGGGTGTGTGTGTGTGTGTGTGTGTGTGTACATGCATGCCCAAGCTCAAGTGCCACCTCTTGCCTGCTGTCACACTCTAAAGCCACAAAAGTCCTGCCAAATTAGGGGCAGAGCAGGATCCCAGGCCCTAGTGCCTTTGGGCCTTCCAGGTCTGCGTCCTCCCCTCCCTCCTGCTGCGCAATGGCACCCCCAAGTGGCAGGGAGCTTACTGCGACACAGCCCTCTGAAGAGTCTGACCTTCTTGGTCCTTGAGGAAACTTCCAAAGAAATGCGCACTGCCAAGGCTGAGCCTGTGCCCACGCCTGGCACGAGTCATCCTGGCGGCTCACCTGGCCTCCTGGGAAGCGTGGCCTCCTCTCCACCTCATCCGCTCTCTGACACTTGTGTGCCTTGCTTGTTTGCTGCCACTGCGGCTGCTACGGTGTAAATTCTTGTCCACTGGCTTTCCATGCCGTTCTCCAAGCACGGCAGGAGCTGAAAAGCTCGGTGTGTGAGTGAGAAGAGGGTGTGAGTGGACGGCTGGGGTAGCAGGAGGCTGCAGTGGCCTGTAGGATGGGGTGTCCTGAGGGTCTCAGCCTCTGTCCTGAGAGAGGACACCGTGGTAGAGTGTTAAGCATGGCTTTAAACATGATCCTGTTATCCTCCTGGTACAGATTAGAGGCAGGTGGAGTAGGCAGAAGGGAACAAGGCGAGGCCACCTGTGTCCCAGTGAGGGATGGTGTGGCTGAAGTGAGGGAGAAGTGAGGACAGGAGCAGAAGTCGGAAGACTTTGGGGTGGCTTTGGCCATGCGGTCGGGGAGGGGATGTAGCGGGCTGGTGGATAGCTGGATGAGATGAGGAATCGGGCTCCCTGAGTGGGAGGTGCTTACAAGGAAGAGCCGTGAGTCCAGTCTGGACCATGAAGAGCCTGGGAGGGGCTGGAGACACCCACAAGCAGGTGTTCATGGCGGAGGACCCTGCAGGAGCCAGAGCCCAGATGTGTAGTCAAGAGGAGTGCAGAGGAGAGAGCACCGGCAGGGAGGGAGGGAGCTCCCTTTTGAGCAGCTGGAGGGGCCCCTGTGTGCAGGTGCAGATGGAGACTGTGTGGTCCCAGGAGGGGGACCCAGGGATGCCAGCAAGGGGGGCTTTCCAGGGACAGGCTGGGGACACTGAGACCTCCTGGGCCACAGCGATCCTAGGGGTGGGGGTGCTGGAGTTGCTCCTTCCTGATGCTCCGTGGTCTTCTCCTAGTTCTTTGCCTTCATCACCACCCTGCTCTACATTCTCCATGCCTTCAGCATCTATTACCACTGAAGGGTCCAGCAGTGCCCAGAGAGAAACACACCCCGAAGCCCAGGTGCCTGACCCCCGAAGCAAGCTTCAGCACTTGCCACGTGGAGGGTGTGCATCGACCACCAAGCATCTGCGGTATTAACAGGCCGTCCTCTGTGATGAGCACCAAGACCCTGCCGCACGCTTCCCTGAATGTTTTCCCCATGATGATAGGAGAAAGTGGACTATGTTCTGACCACGAGCCCAGCCCTTCTAGAAAATTAACTTGGAAGCCCTCGTTGCTGAGACACCCAGCTCCACTGCTGCCATACCTGTTGGGGACTCTGCCTCAGCGATGAGGTGCCCATAGCCTTGGGCATATTTAGTCTTATTTTCTTAAAATCAGAAAGGCCCTTGGAGGTGTCTCAGATCAAAGGCCTGTGCACAGGTCTGCTCCTCCTCTCAGGTTTCTGCCCTAGTACATGTTCCAGCCCTTGCTCCCCTCCTGCCTGAGACAAGGGCTCCCATTTCACCTCTTTTTCCTCCACCCACCAGCATTGGGAGTCAAGGAAAAAATGGCTTAGAACCAACTTAGAGGGGAGGTTCATGGGGGGGGGGAATGAGCGATTGGCTGTACAAAATCATTGTACAGTAAGACCTGTGGACAAAGGGTAAGGACAAGATTGGGGGCCTCGGCCTGTTGATCCCCAATCCTAACCCTCAGAGGCCGGCCCAGCTCAATGCACCTGCTCCAGGCCACCAAGACCTACTTGCTGAGGGCCAGAAGCCACCTTGTCCCTCAGAGGAGACCCTCACTGAAGGAAGGGGGATGTCACAGCCACGGATTCCCCTCTGGGTTCCTGTCAGAAGCATGGGGCAACTACTCCATCATCTCAGGGGTAGTGACAGGGCCTCTTCCCAGGGGTCTTTCATGTGCATCCACCCCCCCATGGTCCCCTCTAAGTGAGGCCAGGCCCTCACAGGGCTGCCAAGACCCCTACCTAGAAAGGCATTTGCTTTTGGGGGACTATTTCCCAAGAAGAGGCTGGCGTAGCACACAGAAATGCCAAATCAAGGTGCTTGGTTTCAAAGGAAATGTCTCCCCAAAGAAAGCTGTGCTCTCTGGCACTTCCCCACCCAGGCAAGGGTCTCATGGGCCTCAGGACAGGGTCTCCTGATGCAGTGGGGGAGGGGATACTGCTTGAAACTGCCTGTGCCTGCTGTCACTTGGAAATGGAATATTTACATGAAAGGGACTTGTCGTACTGATGGTAGAGCTTGCTGTTTTTGTAGCACCTTTTTTCCATCCTTGGGGGATATGGAACTCACCCAAGGAAAACCTCCAGCTTCATCACTGTTCACTGCTGCTTGCAGGTTGCCCTGATAGCCCTAAAAGCCCCTGTCCACCGTTCCTCTGTACCTGGCTCCTGTCTGGGATGGACACTGTTCAATATTTACTGAGTGGCCCCAGGGAAATAAAACCTGTTTGTATGGTAAGAAGTACCGAGTTGGTCGCTTTCATCTTGCAGGCAGCTGGGCCCGGCCATCATGGCTTGGGTCCAGTCAGCTGTGTCACCAAAACTAGCCTCCCCTTGGGGGTCTCAAGTCATGCCATCCAGGTTCCCCATGGATGGAAGCTGCTGGGGGTGGCAGCCCGGGGAGCTGGAGTTTGTCTCTGCTTCAGGAAGAACCGCTTGGGTACAAGTCTCAGAAGTGAAATCCTGGCAGCTGTGGGAAAGTCAGGACGTGAGGGGCATGGTGGAGGTAAAGAGGCCGTGGTAGGAGTGGAGAAGGCTTGCCTGACATCCCCGCCTGCTTTCTCCTCCCTCTGCACCATAAGGCTTGTCCTGTTCCCAAGAAACCCTAGCCAGGCCTACATCACAGCAAAGTCCCTCGGTTCCCTCCTCTCCCTGCACTGAACTCTGTCCCTTTCCCCCTGGATTCAAGGGGTCCTGCACCTTCCACAGTTCGCTTTCAGGGGAAACAGACTGAGACCTCCCACAGCATCTCTGGAGGCCATGGGGTGTCCTGGTACTAGGGCCGCTGGGGATTGGTTCACAAGATCTCACCAGCCTAACCTTGACGGCCTGTGCTGCTCAAGCTGCCCGCTGGTTGATCTGCAGTTTCATCCAGGTCAGCCAACGGTCTTTTGAACAATAACTAGGGAATAATCTTTAAAAATGCAAAAACATGTCAGAATTGGATGCATCCCACTCATCCACCAATGGAGCAGGCCAGGCTTGGCACCCTGGCACTGGCCTCAGGACTGTCAAGGCCGACCAATGAGCTGCCCTGCCACAAGCTCAGTGCTGACCAATCAGGACAAGCACTTTCTGCACCCTGGAAACCCTCATTTGCATGGAAGACCTTGGGAACTTTGGGTAGGAAGTGTGCTTACCTTAGCCACCCCTTTCCTTTGGGTTTGCTCTGCCCTGCCCCGCACCACAGCTACCTTCTGATATGAACAGAAATCCCCAAAACAAGTCCTGCCCACGCTTAGCTATGTTTCCTTTGAGTCCCCTCTCGTTTCTGTCTCCAGATTCAAGAACCTGGATCTGGTCCCACCTACTCCATTATGTGTGTATGCAGTTGGCCAAGTTGTAGTTGTCACAAGGATTAGTAGTGTCAGGGTGTGTTTCAACTGGGGGCCAAAGGCTAGGTAGGCCAAGGCGAGTGCTCTATACTGAATCATGCCCATGTCCCCAAATGCACAGCCTCAGGCTCTAACCTCCAAGGAGGCTGTATTTGGAGGTTGTGTTTTTAGGAGCTAGTTCAAGTTTAATGACAGGAAGGAACTTATCCAAGAGAGTGGCACCTTATAAGACAAGGAAGGGACACCGAAGAGCTCTCTCTCCCTACCACCCTGGGCACAGCAAGCACCCAACCTCTGGAAGCCAGAACAATCACCTTGGCCTGGGACTCCTGGCCTCAGAACCTTGAGAAGGGAACCCTGCTGTGTGGATCCCCAGTCCTGGGGTTTGGCTCCAGATTTCCCAGATAAGGAAGACCCAGGATTATTCCAAGGCACCAAGGTACATGTTCATGTGTGTCTGCTGGATGTGGGAAGGCTTCCGAGGTGTCACCACTCCTGACTTGTATCAGCAGGACTGGTAGGGATCCCAGCACTGAGAGGAAACAGTCCTGTCACCATTAAGATCTTAGGGCTGTTTCTTGCTTCAGACTTAAATTCCATCTCCTCCGCCCCACCCTTTACTGAGGATTAAACCCAGGGCCTCCTGTACTCTAGGTAAGCACCAAGCTACATCTGCAGCCCCTTTGTAAACTTATTTAGGGACAGGGTTTCCCCAGGTTGCCCAGGCTGAGTTCACACCTTCAGTCTTCCTGTCTCAGCCTCCGGAATACTGACAGGAATGCAATTCTGGAGCCAGACTAAAGTAAGTTCCCCAAAAAAGGCATGAGCGGGTGGGTGGTTCCACTCAGGTACAGAAGAGTTAGCAGGTCTTGGTAGGAGGGGGACCCCAACTAGAAATTTGAGGATCCTACCAGGGAAAGCTACCCCCTTTCACAAGGTGACACAGTGGTGCTCCCAACCCTTGGAGCTTTGCCTACTGCCTCAAGGGTAAACTGAGGTAGGGAGGCATTGGCACAGGTCAGGGCAGAAGGAAGGCAGGCAGGTGCCTTGGGCCCCTCTGTCCCTCTGCCACTATGTTGCAGGGCAGAAGGACTTCTGTCAGGACACTTACGTTTGTAACTCTTTATGCTTGGTCACCCAAGAACCCACAGCTTCCTCAGGCCGGTGACTCTGAGGTAACTGGGTCAGGCACGGAAGGACTTGGGTTACAGGGTTAAAGACCAGAATGGCAAGTGTCCACACATGGTAGAAATCCAACGCTTTCTCTAGTCTCCCATGCTATCCTGTCTTGCCAGTTCCTGGAAACACTGGTGGCTCCTCCCTCTCGATGCCTACACGGGGGCATTGATGCTGTCATCAACCCCACCTGCCCAGGAAGTTCTGTTGCTGGACTCCAGGAGGGACCACCCCAGGGAGTACTACTGCTAGCAAGCTTGGATCCGTGCATCTCTCTATGCCTCTGCGTACCTCTCTGTAGACCCACAGACATGAACGATATCCTACAAGGCCCAGAGAGGGGGCCAGGAAAGGTTGAAAGGGGACAGACACAGAACCAACCATGCACCAGTGGGTGGCAACTGGCCACAGGGTGAAGGCCAGAGTTGGTTCCCCGATAGCAGCTGCGACCGGGACTCTCGGGAAACCCCAGAGGAGCTCTTGAGAGGTGGCTATGCAGGCAGGGGCGGCCCTTGGGCCTGCACTGGCTACGCTGGGAGGGTTTCACTGCAGAGGTCACCTGAGTCTCTAGGGGCCCTGAGTCTTTCTCAAGAATCTGTGAGCTTTGAATTTCCTAGGAAATTGCCAGTAATTGCCATTTTGCATTTGGTGTCATAACACGTGCGGCAATGGCTACTCTTATTAGACTCAGCAATGACCTTGGGGGTGGTAAGGACTGAGCCCAGGACCTCACACGTGCTAGGCACATGCTCTGCCACTGAGTGACTATAGCAGCTGATGTTCTCATAGTGCCTCTCTGAAGGACCCTGGCCCTCTTATGGACGTTTCCTCCCTTGGCCATCACGGTGCCCACCTGTGAGCATGTGTGGTGGGGTTCAGGTAGCCTGTGCTGTGTAGTAAATTCCAGGCCAGCCTGAAAAGCATAGCAAGATCTTGCTACAAAAAAACAAACAAAAGCATCAACTCAAAATGAATCAAAGACTCAAATGTCAGATCTAAAACTACCTAAGACTTAGAAGAAAGTATGTTTATGACCTTGGACTAGGCAACAGTCTTAGATCTGACATCAAAAGCACAGCAACAAAAGAAAAAAGTACACTGGATCCCTTCAAGGTTAAAAGCTTTTATGCTTCAAGGACACCATTAAGAAGGTGGAGTTGAGACAGGAGGTACATGGGGCACAGGCAGCTAACACACAGGCCTACGAAACAGTCAAGATAAACAAGGTGGCCTGGCACAAAGGAGTAGGCATGGGTAGAAGTCCTGCCCTGCGGGAAAGATTCTGGGACAAACAACTACTGGATGTCTTCAGCCATCCAACCCAAGGATTCGCCAAGGGGAGTGGGACAGTGTATGGTCACCTTCATTACTGGGCTTTAGGGAATGAATGATTGTTCCCAGTAGGACAGGAAGCCCGCCACCCTAAGAGAGCTATAAGGAGAAACACTTCCTTCTCAAGTTCTGAAAAAGTACCCAAAGAAGCCTCACTGGTAACCATGTACTGGGTCCCCTTCTGTTGTAGGAGCCTTTCCTTTTGCCTGTTCTTACTTGTGACAATAATATAGGGGAAAGAAACTCCCAAGCTGAAAGATACCCAGGCTAAATTCATATTCTCTAAAACCAAATGAGTTTTAGGAACAACAGAGGTTAAGAGCAGAATGTATTTACTGGGGGAAAGAAAGCTCCTGTCCAGGAGCAGTTGCCCTGGAAATCTACCATTTCTAAGGATATGTATAAAGCAAAACCATGTGGTGAGGAGGGTCTAAGGTGGAAACCATGCACGAGGTGGGACAAAACTATGGTTGCAAGCACCATTGCTCAGGTATAATTAATTAAATCTGAATCAAATGCGAAAGGGAGTCATGTAGCAAGCAGGTACAAATATGGAACAGGAGCTCTTCCTGTCCGGGCTTGGGTTAGTGACTCTTTCAAGATGATTGATACCAATTTAGAATGTCAATCCCTGATGCCTTTCTTAGGGAAGTTGGTGGCTGCATTTGTTTTCTCTTTTGTCTTGAAGTCTGGCCCACGACAGGAGTGTCTGTCTCTTCCAAAGTTGTAAAGTCACCTTGTCTTCCATATTGTCTCCTTGGGGGCCTGGCCCGGTCGGAATTTCATCTAATTCAGCTGCCTGCAACAATGGCACTTCCTTGCTTGTGACGGGACACCTCCACCTGCAGTTTCCTTCTATTCTTTGACACTATATCAAAATGATAATCTACAAAGTGGGAAAAAAAAGTACTTGCAACTCATTTACCTGATGAGACATCTGTATCTGGAGAACAGGACAAGCTCCTGTGACTCAATGAGGGAAACACGAACAGTCCTTGAGAAAACAGAAAGCCATGAGGATCGCAAGTTTGTGCTCACCTGCCACTAAGTGACTTAGCAACCCTGACTCATGATTAAAAATAAAATTTCCGGCGGAAAAAAAGGACAAAGTATCTGAAAGGAAAAAAAAAAAAAATGGCGAACAACCACATGCAAAAATGGTTAACATCATTTGCCAAGAGGAAAAGACACACTGAAACCAGAAAGATGTCGGGTTTTATTGGAAATGGTGATGGCGGCGCAGCAGAGAAGCAGAAATCAAAGAAAGGGGGGAGCCTTAATTAACTCTGAAGACACAGACAGGATCAAAGGCAGGGAGATGGGGGGATCCTCCCACTTGAGGCAGGGAGCCTGAGACTTCGAGGGCTTTTGCTAGGGGCGGAGCTTGAGGGGC